TGCTAAAATTAACATTGGCCTACCACTTGTACTAATAAAGTGCCAGGGGCCTAAGTGGTCACCTTAATATTAAAAAAAAAAAAAAAAAAAAAAAAAAAAATTTATATTTTAATTCTGTAAATTTATAGAATTAAAATAAAAAAAATTAATTATGATAGCTTTTAAAAAAAAATTAGCTATAGCTTTTTTTTATAAATATCTAAACTTTAAATAAAAATTATTTTAAAACTTTTAGTGAAGATTTTTTAACAACCACCTATAATTTCAATAAAAATTTTTTTTATTTTAATTCTACTGTATAAACTTACAGAATTGAAATAAAAAATTTCATCAATGCTTGTTGAGAAATCTTTATTTAAGATTATTTTTTTCAATATTCGAACATTTTTTAAAACTTTTAGTAAAGATTTCTCAACAACCCTCTATTTAAATTCTGTGAGTTTTTTTTTTCTGTTTTAATTCTACAAATGTATAGAATTAAAATAAAAAATTTTTACTGAGTTTAATTGTCATTACATAGAAATATTCTTAGAATCTTAAAAATTTTTCAAAATCTGTAATATTTTAATTATTTTGATTGACTGTTTATATTATATGACCTGACTTTTTTGTTGTGATCACTGATTGAGCCACCGATCACTGTCGGTATATTATCTTCCCATCAACAAGTGGAAGAAAACATTAGAAATGTTAACCGTCGAAAAGGTTACTCGAAAGTTAGAAGATACAAAGAAGTAGTTGAAGAAGGCTGAAGTTAAGTTGGATGATGCTAGGAGTGAAAAGGATAAGAAGTACTAGCAGAAGCGGGTGGAGTTCCGAAAAGTGCATTTTATGAAATGGGGAGAACTTTGCCAGATGATTACTCAATCAGGTAATGACTTTGTGACTCGGTGTTAAGTAGTGTATATAGAGCAGAGTAGATGTACATAATTGTATTGGGAAATATTATAATCAATAATAGTGAATGTTTATACAATATCTACCAACTTGTTTGAATGCCCAAATATTGCGCTGTTTTAGAAGTTAGAACCGGTTTTAATAATTTGAATTTATCACATTAATTTCAAATTTTGATTAGGTAAATTTATAATAAATTCAAAATATCACAAAGATTATAGGTTTACCAATATTTACTCTCAACCACTTCCCCGACAACTATTAAATGTTCTATAGAATAGGTGGGCAGACTCCGCAAACTCAGCAACTCCACTAAAAATTTATTAATGATTACTAATTAGTAGTAGAGTTTATTTTTTATATTGTCTACCTATTCTATAGAACATCCCAACTAGTGATATAACCCGTTCAAAAAAATACGACCAGGTCACCCGACGGGTGAACCCACGGGTCACCCAGGTTGATCAACAGGTCCACCCGAGTCACGGGTTACCTGTTTGACCCAGGTTTTATTATAAAAATTTTTAGAGTAGTAAGACACTTTGAAATCTTTTAAGATCTTTAAGATCTTTAAAATCGAATGCGTATAAGGTGGTTT